TTTCCTTTTATTTTGGTTTGACCCTCACTGTCTCCATGGTGTCATTTACGAAACCATCAGTATCTGGTTGCTACTGACTTGCCTGTAACACTTGCAGAGAGAATGTTGGGTTTAGTGAAGCTTTGATTATTTGGAAACTCTCCCGAGGGGAGGGAGCACCTTGAATTAGAAATTTAGAATTCTGCAGAGACCCTGTGGAATAGTGAAGTTAAAGGTCCTACATTTTAACTCAAGAGCAAGCAGTTCAGTGTTTCCTTCAGAGCAACAGGCTCTGTGCCTGGTGGAAGACTGGAGACAGAAGTCAGTGCCCCAGATGCTGAGCTATCCAAAGGACAACCTTATGCTACTTAAGGTTCTATCCACTCCAGTAAGATCTTCCTACTAATGCTTGACCTTCCACTGCTCCATCTGCCAGACCTCTGCTGTCATGCCAGACCTGCATTCCTGCATTACAGAGAGTGTAATATGGAGGAGTTACAGGTGTAGGGTAAGAGGTGGGGAATATGCTGGTACTGGAGACCTCAAGGCTATGAGCAGCTCACCCAGTGGTCAGATAAAGAAATGCAGAACTACAGCAGGCAAAACTGATTTTAGGGGTAACAGTACGAAGGACAAGCATCCAACATGTGTAAACCATGCCACATATAGTAAATTGAGATGTAATGTAAAAAGACAGACCAAAAGAGAAAGAGCAAGGCGTAAAAGTGCATCAGCAAATGAAAGTGAACCCAAGTGCTTCTTAGAGTGAGGAAGAATCAACATCAGCTGCTCCTGACAAAGGATTTGGGATTTGCTATACTAGAGTCATAAATAGCTTATTTTATACAGAATAACTACTTGTCACTACTAGATATATATACAAAAATCATGAAGAGTTATACCCTACAAAGATACGGGAAAGTAAACCAGATTGGGCATAGCCTAATTTCTAAGGTTATTGGAAAAACTTCTGTTACAATTAAGCCAAATGAAAACAAAGCTCCAGGCAGGTCAAGACAAGTACAGTAAAAGCATGTTTGACAAGTCCCAGTCCTGGGTCCTTGCAAACTCAGTACAATATTTGTGGCTTGTTAGTAGCCATGACAATACTGTCTTTAGTGGCCTAGCTCTACAGGTTCCTCTTTTCATGCATTTGAAGCCATGGAAAACTAATCGCAGGGAAGTTTAACAGAAGGTTTTCTATCTACCTGGGGTTGGCCCAGGAAGTTTGGGCCTGGTGAAGGGTTTTGGGCAGGACCAGCATGTCTTCCATGTGTAGGCTATATCATATGACCAGTAACAAATTGTGCTGGCACTGTGGGTCCTGGGTAGTCTTAATCCTCACAAGTAGACCAGGAGCACCCCAAAACAGCCCAAGGAGCAATCACAGAATGTCCCACAGAAGAGTGATGGGCAGCCTAATGAATTGTTATCTCCTACCTCTGAACTCCTCTCACAGCCATCTCTTCTTTCAGTTCTCTGCAATATGGGACACGTGTCTTGTGGCTCTTGGCCAGAAGGAGGATTTGTTACATATCCTATCAGTTCAGAGTCGTTACTGTGCTGCCAAATGCTTTCAGTTTGTGCTGCACTATGTAACATACAGGACCTTTTATTTTTCTCCTTACAAGATCTCTAGGTATTTACATCCTTGTTGAGCTCTTGGGAATAGGGATCATATTTTCTTATTCCTGGACAATCCCTAGCTCAATACAGCAAAATCTTTTGCAATATTAATAGCATTAATTTTAATTAATATTTAAAATTAATAGCAAAGTCCTGTGATTTATTAAGGGCTCTTAACTTACAGTTTAAGAAAATAACAGGAGGAAAAGGAAAAAAATTTATTTTTTTTTTTAAATAAACCCCAAATCAAACCTTTTCAGCAGCTGTGCTGGTTATGGTCCCGACTATAAGACTCTTAAGCCAAACAGAGTTTGACCACTTGGATCAAACTCTACATTTACAGGTCTAAATTACAAGCTAAACAGGGATGTTTCTCCATTAGCCAACCAAGGAAGTAAGAGTATAAAGACTTATTACTCAAGATACTTGAACTGAGGTTGGGGGTTTTATTATTCTAATTAGAAACAGGAAAATTCCTATTCCATTTTGTAATTAAAACAATACACATTCTACCATCTAATTATATTTGACATTTTCAAGGTGTTAGGAGCTGGTCTATAATTACAGAACTACTGCTGCCTTAAGCAGAACACTCCATAAATATTCATATATTAAATAGCCAGTTATACTGTTTAGAAGATTATAGAAACATTTGCTTTTCTTAAGATATGTTAGACTTTCAGAAGACACATTTTCTATTTGTATTTTTAAAAAGATGGGAAGAAAAATGTCCTGTGGGATCTGACATACTGTATATAGCAAATTGACTATAAACCTATTCATTAGTATTGTAAGCAGTTACATTGGAAATTCATTTAAAATTATTTCTTTTCTTTTAGCAAAATGGGTAATTACAGTGAGAAATAATACGGGAGTCCTGTAGTGAAGTCATAAGACAGTAAAATGCAATTCTTACAATTCTTTCATTTTGTAATTAACAATAAAATTATAGCATTTATCCACATCTTTTCTTTTAGTGTCTCACGATAAAATATCACTTCATATATGGCCTATTTTTGATAGGTCAGTGTTGCCATTTAAAACAGTTGCCTGCCTAAGAATACCATAATCAAAGTAGAGGTGAACTTGTGGGTAGTGCAGAGCCTGTTGTTTGAGGAGAGGCTTTCCTTTTCTTGACATTAGAGAAATGGAAAAATACACAATGAAGATGAAACTCTTGAGTGCAAGGCATTCCATCAGTGGGCCTGTTCTGTGTTTCCATTCTAGGAAATGAACCTTTGGAGACATCTAGATAAAGGGCATAATTTCTGAAAAGAAGAGCAATGGGCACTTTGCCTATTTTGTCCGTTTAGCTTAATGGAATATGTTGTGTCCTGTTAAAAGATGCTTTGCCCCATGGGACCTGGATGCTGGCTAAGTCATTAGGTATGACTTTCAAATAGCTAATAATAACACTTTTTGCAAGTGTTTCAAGAGTTGAATGCTGTGAAATTGTGATACATGTGAGTTCAAATACTGTGCAGAATTTTGGTGTCCCTGCACAGCAGGGCAGCATTCTGGTCAGGAGGCCCCTTATCCCACACAGCTCCACAGTCTCTGTGCAGGCAGGTGTGGAGAAAAGGGCACCCAGTTCCACAACAATCTTAATTACTCCCAGAGTATGAAGACTTTAGGGAAGCCCTCTTTCATCCCTGCACAGCTGTATAATGACTAGAAACAGTCTAGCCCATGCTCACTACTCATGCATGCTTGCGTTATAGCCCACCAGGGACTGCATCCAGCAGGAAGTGAGTAGTATTACATAATGCATCCAGCTAAAGAGATGGACTTTGTCCTGTGATGGATGGGAAGTGGGACTCAGTTTAGTTATATTGCATAGAATTATTCCATATGACAGATTATAGAAGTTACATATTATCTATTCACATAATATGCATTACATATGGTATATTTTATATGCTATACATAATACGTATGTGTAATATAGTATGTGAGTGCAAATATACATATATGTTGGGTTATACACACACACACACACACACACACACACACACACAATCTACTGAAGCAAACTTAGTAGATGCCAATACACATTCCCTCCCTTTCTACACAATCACAGCCTCTATACTATGTGACATTACAATGCAGTTGATTTGAACACAGATAACCAGGCAGGCTAAATTCTTCCATTCTTCACCTACAGATTTTTCTTAAAACACTTTGAAGATACAACTCTTCAAATCTGTCCTTCAGCACATCAGAGATGAGCTGTTCTTTTCAAACAAAGACATACTAAAAAATGTTTCAGTGAAATTTAGCTAGAAGTTTCCTTCTTTAACCACCCAGAATTATATTTTATGCACAAAAAGTCTGCAGTTTAAAAGCCCAGTATTTGAAAATCTGAAATTGGCCAGTTAAGGCAAGAAACCGTTGTCCCTCTGCCATATATAGCAAGTTTTATTTATAATTTTACCAATATATATATTTATCCAGTTTTCCCTCTGCTTATTTATTCCGTTATAGAGTGTGATGAATGACATTGATTTTAATCAAACAATTTTTGTAAATATGTACTGTACATTGCAAGAATATAATGTAAGTATGCCTGAAATTGTGTTAGGACAATCCCCATTTCTCATAGTGTGAAGAGCTTGATGTAAAAGAGGAAAGTTTTTTTCTCAAAAGATGTGAAACAGCCTGTCCTGATTCTAGCTGGGATAGAGTTAATTTTCTCCCTAGTAGCTGGTACAGTGCTGTGTTTTGGATTTAGTACGGGAATAATGTGATAACACACTGATGTTTTAGTTGTTGCTAAGTAGCGCTTATTCTAAGTCAGGGATTTTTCAGTTTCCCATCCTCTGCCAGTGAGCAGGAGCACAAAAAACTGGGAGGGAGCTGACCCAAACTAGCCAAAGGCATATTCCATAGGACGCCATGCTCATTATATAAACTGGGGGAAATGGGCCAGGGGAGTATGATCACTGCTTGGGGACTGGCTGGGCATTAGTCAGCAGATGGTGAGCAATTGCATTGTGCATCACTTGGCTTTCTTGGCTTTCATTTCTCTATTTTTGTTATTCTCCTTGTCATTACTACTACAATTATTATAATATTTTATTTCAATTATTGAACCATTCTTATCTCAACCCATGGGTTTTACTTTTTTTTCATTCTGATTTTCCGCCCCATCCTACGGGGAGGGGGAGGAGTGAGCGAGTGGCTGCGTGGTGTTTAGTTGCCAGTTGGGGTTAAACCATGACACAGCCTGATGAGATTTTAATGATGTTATCTGTGTAAGTGATGAATCTGTTTAGTAGTTGCAAACTTTTACTTTTCAGCTGCAGCTAATAGTGAGGAAAAGTTAATGTGATAGCTGTCCTAAAAAGATGAAAAGGAAGCAGATAGGCAGTTCACATCATATTATCCATAGGTACTTTCATTGCAGTAGAGACACAGGGAAGCAGTCATTGCATCTCTGTGGAGGAGTAGGAAGTTGTTCTAATGTTGCCTCGTTCAGGCAGGACTCTGGGAAATAACATACAAAAAACATTTCTGAGCATTTAAGAGGATACAGAGAATAATCAAATGCTGCTGGTCACTCCTGAATGCCCCAATGCCCACCCTGGGGGCAGGACTGCCCTCTCTGTTCATTTATAAACCAACGGCCTCAGAATGCCTTTTTGCTGTTTCTTCTCTTGAACTACCTCCTTCCACAGAGGCTTACTGGTTGAATCTGTGCTTTCAGGAGCTGGTGGAAAGCTGGAGTGAATTTACCCCCAGAGGCACCAACTTCACTCCTAATAAATTACTGGAAGTAATTGCGAAGGTTAAAATTACTAAATAGCTACAGGATAAAAGAATTGTGAACCATAGTCATCATGGTTCTAAACAGACTGAGTCTTGCCAAAGTTAATTGCTCTTTTGATAGAATTACAAAATGAATGTGTGAAGGCAGAACACCAGATTATCATATATTTGGATTCTAGTGAAGCACTGGATACTGTTTTTCATTAACTGAAACTTAATGCAAACTGGCTTTGATACATGACAGGCTTGCTAAAGGACCAAAACCATGATGATGAACAGCAGAATGCTTGAGGCCTCACATGGGAGACTGCAGTCCTGGTACTTTCTTTTAAATAAAAAAATAATCTAAGTTTGTCTGTTAATGATTCATAGATGAAAAGGCTAAATTATGTGGCCTGAAGATTGGACTGGGTGTTTTGACTAGCTTGGTAGACAGCAGGGTTATTTGATATCAACTGAATAGTATCATCTCTAGAGAGTTAATTATTTAAAGATGGTAAAATGGATATGACAAGGAGCTGTGAGATGTAAATAGCAAGCATCATGCAGATTTATTAACAGGCTATGTTGTCTTTGCAAAAGCATTGCTATTACATTTCCCAACAGTAATTTGTTGCTTTCTTCTCTTCTAGTTGCCCATACTGGCATCTTCTGTTGTTAGCCTCTATTTTCTTGAACTTACTGATGTCTTCAAGCCAGTTCATTCTGGATTTAATTGCTATGACAAGAGTCTGAGTATGCCATACATTGAACCTACACAAGAGTCTGTCCCCTTCTTGATGTTGCTTAGTCTGGTTTTTGCTGGACCATCAATTACGGTAAGTTTGAGGTGCCACTGTCACTTATTAAAGATTCTGAATAGAGTTTCAGTTGGCATAAAGAAAATAGCTCCTTTGGTTTCAGTTAGTCTGCAGAGTGTCATCCAGGCTAATTACCTTAGGATTTTAAATTCATCCTTTGTTCTATAACAGAAGGAGACACACCCCTTAAAACATTCCTTGCAGCACTTCAGCTACTTGCACTATCCTGATTGCAGGCATTAACGTTAAGAAACAGCATCTATAGTTGGGTAAGAATAGCTTGAGACATTCTGTAATCCTGTACAAATATTTGAACTTTTACAGATGGGACATTCCATACTCTCAGATACACCAAAAATTCAAGATCTGTGGGAAATGGAAGCCTTTCATTTACAGCCCCGAACATGCCGCTTTTGTTAGAACTAGCTTTATTCAGTGAAGGTATATCAACCATGTCAGTGAAATCAATTACACTTTCCCAAATGGCACTGGGACTCTTCTAAATTGCAAGTTAGTCATTAAGAGCAGTCAAAAGGAAGCTGGTTTAATCTTTAGCCTAAAGGGAGGAGATGATTTCAGCAGAAGTGTCCTGTCAGAATATGAGCAGCCGAGTCACTATTTTACAGAAAAAAACCCGTAAATTGTCTGGTATAGGTCAGTATTGTCCTTGCTGCAATTGCTGTGTCAAATTAAAAAGAAATCTAGACTTTTACCATACTAGGGGGACTTAATTTTATCTGATTTTAGGCAGCTCAGATAGGAGCCTCATTCTCACACCACTCCTGTTTGGCAAATGGGGTGTGAAATTCACCTTGAGTGGGTGATTCCATGCACCTAAAAAGCTGAATCAGCCTTCTGAAAGGGTCTCTTCTCTCCCCTGACAGCAATGACTGCCATCTCGGCTAGGCACTTCTCTAAGGCCAGCTGCAAATATATTTCTGCTGCCAGCTACTCTGAATTCCCTTAAATTCAACCAGTTCATTCCTTTTATAACACTAGCCAATTTGCAATTACAGAATCAATAAATTGTGATGACCATATAGAAATCAAGTGCTGTTGTCTCTTTGCTTTCCAGGATGTTTTTTGTTTGTCTTTTTTTAATCTGAACTCTTCTTACTGTGTTTGATTTTGGTTGCTTTAGAAACCATTTTTGAAGGATTTTGCACAACCATCAGGCTAAAAATTATACTCATTTAGGAAGAGAAAACTAAGACTCTCAGTGTTCCTGGTATAGATGCTTGCAGCAAACACCAAATACCGTGATAGAACCAAAACTTGGTGGTATTGCAGTTTAGCTGGGTTTCTTAAGTTTAGATAGTGTTTCTGGTAACAACAAAGTAGGCTTTCCTGAGATAACCATAGAAGGAATCTATCTAGGCTCACTTGGGCCACAGTAGATGGGTAAATCCAATTGTTACTTCAGAGAGTTTAAGTCAAGCCTAGGTAATATCAAGCACATTCAACTGAGATGAAAGATGCCCATGTCATTATGGAGGGTTTATTAAGGGCTTTAATTACAGCTAAATTATTTCAGCATTGCATTAAATTATGCAGTAGAAAATGTTATTCTTGATTGAATCATTCTCCTACCAGCAGTACAGACAACTAAACAAACCCAAACTTGAGCATGTCTATCCAGTAAAGAAAGCAAATCCTGAGGCTTCAAATTACAACTGCTTAAAAGCTGCAAGCCTTAGGGAGGTGTAGTTCATTTGTATTCCTGTGAGCATGAATGTGATGCTTGTGTTAGAGAATGGGTTCTGATAGTGTGAAATACACAACCTCCTTTAACAAAAGGCACTGAAGATGATGTAGAGCATCAGCTCTCTATTATTCAATACCACTTTGGAAGTAAAAAACTAGGGATTTTTGTCCAATTCTCCCCTTTTTCATTGGAAAAATAGACCACTGGATCTCAATGCAAAAAAAAATTTACAGTTGTGCCACTGTCATCTTTTAGAGTTTAGCATTTTATAATTTAGTTTTCAGAACATTTCAATGAATTACACTTTATAAAACCTGTGAAATATAGAAAAGAAAGCATTAACTATGTGAAGAATTGAGCATCTCCAGTAACATGCTAGCCTCTGTCTGCAGATCATGTACTTGCTGCAGTATGAGGCAGAAGGTCATCAAGACTCAATAAAATACAGGTGGATTAAGCTACATATTAAATATTTCCAAAGAATGTAAATAAGAAAAAAATAGGGGGGTGGAAAAAAAAAAGGGGGGGGGGCAAGAAGACAGTCAAATCCTAGTCTCAATCCCTTCTTAAAGCCATATATGTTAGACTAGGACTTAATTTTTTTTCTATATTATGTTTGTTCATATACTCAGTTTTTCTCAAGACTGGAGAACATATTAAATCTATTCACTTTATAGTCATTTTTTTTACAACAAATCTAGCATTTTGTAATTTATTTTCCCAAGCAGTTATTACACAAGGATCTGTGTTGATTTGGGGCTTTATGGTTGGGGTTTTTTTTTCCTTTGGGTGTTTTTGCTCATTATTAGTGAGCAGCAACTGCTTTTAACCCAGTCTGTTCTGTAGCCTTGAAGTACTACAGAAAATTACTACCTGTATGATTGACATATGTCTTATAGCTTGTGCCATATATGAAATTTTCTGTATGTATTTATAAACCACAGGAGACTTCAGTGTGGAACAACTGGACTTCTATGAAATTACCAACATGGATACTTTATGTCTGGAATATAGATATACCTGAATTGCAACATGACTTCCATTTGCTCCAAAGAACTCTGAATCTTATCCTCTGACATATTTTCTCTCTAGTTATTAATTCAAAAATGTTAGTACCAGTTATTTAATCATATCAGTGTAGGTTCAAACCCTTGTCAGCTACTGACTAAAAACCTACTTAATGGTAACAGTGTGCTCTCTAACAGATCACCAGGAAATTAGATCACGTTAATTTGGGAAATCAATTCACAAGGAGAGAATTCACTGCTGGCAGTTTCGGTCCTACTGCCTCCTCTACTGTGGGAGTTTGTTTCCTTGGAAATACCAGCCTCTGAATTTTCCTTGACATAGGCCTTGCTGTTTCCCAATTTTCTCCTCTATCACACAAGTTAATCTATCTCTCTGGTGTTTTTCCCTGTGCCAGACATTTCCTAGAGCTTGGATAAAAACTATTAGCGTTTCTCTGTTTTTCAAGTTTGAAACAGTACTGATTTCTCCAAGTTTCAGCTGTAAATTGATCAAATGGAGACGGATAATACTGACCACAGTTCTCATCTAATTAAAATTCCTTACCACTGACTTTTCCATGTAATGAGACAACCTTCACTACTTCAGTATTTCTGGCAAAGGAAGGAAATTTCCATTTATAAAACCTTTAGCTAAAAAAGAGCAAGCTAAGCTTGTCCATTGCATCTCCCTTCTCCTAGGGTGAAGGGCCTTAGCATGCACAAACTTCACTGGTAAATACAGCAGATTTACCGTAATTCAGATGATTTAGCACCTCACTGCATTGTCAGCCTGGTGCATCTTATATATTAGTTTTCAATGCATCTGTGGATAGACAAGGTGAATCTCCTGTTAGTGATGAGAACTGCCTCATTAATTTCAGTATTTCAACCCAACCCTTATTCTGAGCTCTGTACAAGCCCTGTGCAGATTTCCAAGTTGTTGCACTATTTAACAGGGAAAACAATCAAACCTGGGACTGCAAATGTGTAAATGGATCTGGATGTTCCAGCCAGTAATACCATTTTTTTTTTCATTTATATTATTCTCTTTATTTCTGTTCTAAACTCTTTGTCTAGGGCTTCAGTCATAGTCTGTTTAGCTTGGTGTGGACCATAAGGACCATAAGGACAGAACT